AAAAAAAAAAAAAAGAAAAAAGAAAAAGAAATAAATAAATAAGATAAAATCCAAAACAAAGACGTTTCATTTGATAATGGTTCTCGAAATAATTCCGAGACGCGACGATGATATAAACAATTATAAATTGTTAAAAGTCAATTCGGCTACGCCTCGAATGGCTGCATTCTTGTACGACAAATATATACGACAATTAAATATTAAAAAAAAAAAAAAAAAAAAGAAATGAAGAAAGAAGATATAAGAATAAATAAGTAAAAAAAAAAATAAAAATTCTGCTCGCATTTTGACCGAATTCGAAGTATGCAGCTTTTGTGACGGTGAAGACGTGTCTGAAACCATTATGAAAACTTAAAAAGATTCCGTACAATTTGTTACATTGCAGAACATGACCTAATCCCGCGTTCACATGGCATTCACGAAAGCCAAACAGCAATATTAGGTGTATATATATATATCTTGTAACTACGACGCGTGTATATATATTCGTACATACACATATATATATATATATATAGAAGCAAGGATGAAAAATGACGCGTGATTCGTGTCAACGCGTTTGCAACGAGAAAAAAGAGAGAGAAAGAAAAAAAAAATAAAAATAAAAAAAGAATTAGCATGCTATTTATTCTTTCTTTTCGATTTAATTCTTTCTCGGTTTTCGGCGCAGCGTTCCATCTCGAACAAAATTTCCCAAAGTCGAGCAAGCAATAACATTCGCATCCACACACACGCATACACAAACGGACAAACGGATCGATAAAAAAACAGTTTATATTCGTGGTCACGGCAGAACCTGATGTGTCACTTTTTTCACATTGAAATTGAGATATATGCTTTTTCACGTGTCATTATTTTGCAAAAAAAAATATGATCTTTTTATTATTTGTGGTTTAAAAATATAGAACAAGAAAGACAGGTTGTATTTTTTTTAAACATAACAACTTTTTACAACTAAAAAAAAAAAATATAATAAATATCAAATTTTACACTTTGATCACAGATATAAAATATATATGTATATGTTATATTTATGTTGCTGTCGCCTCGAGAAAGAATTGTGAATAAAATACACAATTTATGAAGGACAATCAAAGATGGAAAGTACTGATCTCATGAATAGAAAAAAAATCGCGATTAATCGAATAAGCCTCTGAATAAATATATATATATATATATTTCGTTAGCTTAAGCGGACATATCTAGACGAACTGATGCGAGAAGAGCTTTTAATATTGTTAATAATATTATTTATCCAAGCCGCGATTCCCCCTCATGTACATTAAACATGAAACGGAATCTCGACGATCCAAAACAAACACGGCTGATCTAGGCGAAACGCGTTTACTTTTCTTTACTTTTATCGACAAAAAAAAAAATTTTTGCAAATTAAATCAAATCAAAAAAATCGCTTTTTAATCGTTATTGAAATAAATAAATAAATAAATAAATAATATTCGGTCCACACTTCGCGCGATGCACTTTAAATTTGTGGGATTAATAGAGGGACAATATGGATTAAACGGAATTACGGATCGTCGAGACCGAGTATATCCGACTGATCCGCGACGATTCGAAATGAGAATAAATGAAGAAAAAAAAAAAAAAAAAAAAAAAAACGAAGGGAACATGGGCAACCGCGCTGACAGGGATATCTATGCGTGTAAATATTATAAATATTAAATAGGGCTGATTAAAAAAAAAAAAAAAAATGAAAGAGAGTATGTAAGAGTATGTCTGTGTATTTGTGTATGCGTGAAAAAACGAAAAGAGAGCGTACAAGAAAGATACAGAAATAGTTCTAATTTCACGATGCTATCGAGAAGAAGGCAAAAGATATATGAAAAAAAAAAAAAAAAAAAAATTATCGAACAGTTTACGAGAGGACATTGTTAATTAGGTTTTAGCGGCGGTGACGATATAGCTGGCTCTATCGTAGTTTCTATACACTTTAAAACGAATGTGAAAGTTTAACATGCTGTTGAAACGTTTGCGACAGGTGACGCGCGTCGATCGAATATTATCGTCGGGAACGATGCGTTTTGCTTCTTTTTAACGTTGTTTGTCCGGTCGATCGACCCGCGATTCCGAGCCATACCCGTTACATTTGTTGTATTCGCGAAAATTGATCTCGGAAAAAAAAAATCTTATTTTTTTGTTTTCCTAAAAAAAAAAAAAAAAAAAAAAAAATTAATGAAAAATTCAAATTTTAATATCGAATATTGGAATCGTGGAAAAATTTGCTTGCTCTTGTTCACTAACCTTGGAAGCTCGTTTTTCTCGCGCACGTGTCCTCGTCCCCCTCGTGGAACGGCTCCATTGGTGACTATAAGTCGATCATTAAAGATTCGATAAACTGTTGCATCGAAAATATCGAAGACTGACGACATTCAACCTCCTCGAAAAACCATATCGGTTCCATTACATTCCCCAATTTACATTCCATTTTCCAAATGGTATTCCGCAAGATCCGAGAAACATTCCAGGAGAGCATTCGCAACAAATCAAGTTTTGAAACGATGAAACTCGAACGAAAATGTCACGAAATATCGAGATGGACGAATCGACTTATTGGTCCGCTATATTGGAGTCGTTGGATCAGCGTGGATCGATCCGCGTCTCTAACAATTGCGACACAAGCGCTTTTCTCCAACACGTTTGTTTCCAAAGCACGCACGAACGTCTTAATCGATTTATCGATAGAGAATCGAAAAAAGTCGAAAATGGCGGAGATAAAGAAATGCGATTGATGTCGAAACGCCGACAAAGCGGGTCATTGTCGGATGTGATGCTGCGAGAACGGACAACGCGATAAAAGAAGATATGATAAACATGTGATATTACGATTTTTTATATATCAGCTACTTTGCAATAATGGATTATCGCCGTGCTCGAGTAGAGAGCGTCGCGACAGGGGTCGTTGTCGTCGTCGTCATCGTCGTCGACTTTCATTCGTCAACGACGCGTTTATGCACTCGTAACGTTACTGCGTCTTTATTTCTTTGTAAAACTTTTGCTTCGTAAAACATAAAAAAACTTAAAATAGATTTTTCCGATTTCGGAAAGAAACGAAACAAATGGAAGCCATTTTTGCTCTGAAATTAATCTCTTAATCTTTTTTTCTAAAATTAAAATTAAAAAAAAAAAACGATGCAAGCGAGAATACATCTTTTTTATTGAAAAAGAAAGATAAAAAAAGAAAAGGAAAAAAAAAATTACGACGACGACTATGATCGTAGCGACGATCGAAGAAGCCGTGATCGAAATTTTTGTGAAAATAATTAAGAGAATCTATATAATAGCTATCCGGCGAAAAATAAAGAAATAAAGAAATATATATATATATTTATTAAATATATACATATTATTAAATATATATTATTAAATATATATATTATGATTATTAATATGATCATTATTATGATTATTATTAGAACAAAAGAAAGATGAGGGGGGTAAAAACATTTTTGCTATAACACTTCGTCCATTTTTCTATATGGGCAATTCGTTGCACTGTAATCAAGTCCTCGGCCTTGTAAATTCTGTCCTTGTTATTTCCGAAAATTACTCTTTGATGATCGAACGCCACAAAGAATCGATCCAATTTGTTCTTGAATATTTTGAAAAAAATTTTATTTGATGAATTGATGAATTTTTATATTTTATTTTAATTTTAAATAATAGAAATTAAAATAACAAACATAACCTTTCTTGATTATTATGGAATAAAACTTCGTTTCTTTTATAAATCGGGAATTTGTTTATCGTTGTTTCGTGAAAAACACGTTTGTCTTATAAAAAACAATGACAGATCGTCGCATTTAAAATCTTAAAAATTTTATTTTCCAATTTTTTTTATTAGCAATTCCATTTTTTTATTTATTAAAACAATATTAAAATATCAATGATTAATTTATTAAATTTATAATCATTAAAAAAAATTATATAAAAATACGATACGATAGGATCGATC